AGGAGGATGCAGCCCATGAATTTGGACATGTCCAGAGTATAATCGCAGCCTTTGCGGTTAGAAAATTGCACTTGATCATGTCGCGATATTATCGCAAATGCGATATATCGTTCAGCCCTAATTTGAAGCATGTGCGGTAACGACTTATATCGTGATATATTCTGTTCTTCTGTATAACGTGTTTTCCACACTACAAGGGGCAAAAGCCTTTAATTTTCTCAAAGATCGACAGTGCGCCTGATGTATGAATTGTGGTTGTGCTCACTGGCCTCGAACCGATTTTATGCGGTACCCGCTAGCTTCCACCTAAACATGATATAGCATGTTCTGACTGAGAGATTTCTGAAGCATTCAAACGTACAGCTCTGCTATCACTTCCAACATAAATGAAGACAGGAAACTAAACAGCAGTGACGTTTGCAGGGTTACTGAAGTTGAGCTAGCTGGTATATAATGATGTGCTACGTGATCGCTAGCTACACAGCTATGTTAGCATAATATAAACAGTGAAGCTGGAGGATGAACGCTAACGTTTTTTCTCCACTCGATAAAATTTAACATGGGGGTCTGATGGTCAGGGACAAATGCAGTCGCATAGCAGGATGCTGTAAACGGACCAGGAGAACAACTGAGATGATCCATCCACAATACGAGGTTAGTTATTAATATACTGCAACAACATGGGAATAGAGAGGAGAATTCAGCATTAATGAATCGATGGTACGGAACTGGAGGAAGCGCAGTTTTTGGCTTTCCCCATATTTCAAAAGTGCTTCATCTCTTTGCTGTGACTGTCGCCCGCCATCATTTGCAGATGATACTGCTTGCAGCCGCTCCCATGCTTTCGTCCAAAACAGGCGCAGCTTAATGACACCATCAACATGCGCTATCGCGGTAGAGCGGTATCGTCAAAATCCGTGGGCCAGATTTATACAGTTTCTGCCACCCACCCGTAGTTTAACCTGAGATTCTGGTGTTTCTGGCAAAATACATTTATATTTAAAAATCGATTCAGGATTGAATGAATCGATATTGCTTTATCCAAGGTTAAATTGATTTTAATCGGAAAATCAATTATCGAAACCCACTCCTAATCCCGACTGAGGCTTTGTACTACTGTGGCAGAGCATCTCATCTTCCAGTAGCAACTGGACTTAATATGTTATTCAAAGAATTGCCAAAGAAATTTGAGGCAGACTATCCTGTGCAGAGTTACTGCACACAATAGTCCACTGGGATCGCTCACCGAGATGACTCTGTAGCCCCAGCCCGTCAGAGCCAGCACCTGCTGGAAGAACACCTCCGCTGTGCCGCTGACTGGAGGGAGGAAGATGATGGGACAGCGGACACTCTTTGGCCCAGCGTCGTACAGTGACCACACCTTACTGTCATCGTCATCAACAATAATCTGAGGAGAGAAACATGACAGAGACCAGCTGCCTCTTTAAAACAACATGCCAACAGAAAGACTGCAGCTCTTAAAGGTTGTGATGGAGACCAAACATTTTACAGTTGCCGTTTCCTGAGCCCATTCAGTCACATCTCTGTTTTTCAAAAACATTCATTACATTTTATATTCATTTCATCATTCACCGTGAATGTGATGCCAGGTTCTTTGTTGGCCATTCTACGTGCCGCCCATCTGTGACTAAATGCTCACTACATGTATCCATGTTGGAGTTTTATTACAGCGTTCACTAAATACAGAATGATGAGTGCTGCAGGCCTGGCTCATGTTACATATGCTGCGGTAAACGGACTGCTTCTACTCTACCCAAGCATTTTTCTATGCATGTGCTTTCTATGCAGCATTCATTCTGTTGGATGCCTCAGTATATGCTGTTATTTTTG